AGGTAAGACAAAGTAAAATTTTTAAAAAAACCTTGAACCAAAAAAGAAGAAATAAAACTTTTGTTAATTATTATTTATTTTACTATTCAAAATTAGTTATTTATTTATCCATTATTCATTATTATTTATTTATTGATTATTTATACAGACATGAAAATTATTTTCTGCCCGATTCTGAAAACAATGGTGAAAATAATTTTTAATTTTATTATTAATTTTAGTACAGTGATAACCAGAAAACTCTGGAATAGGAAGAAGACTTTTAGAATAAAGTTTTACTTTAAAAAGTCCAATTAACATGAGAAACAGTAATTGTGCAGTGTAAACAAACCCATTTCAGAATACTTGTGACCGATTAATCGTCTAGTAATAATATTCGCTTTGTGACAACAACAAATACACTAAATTACTGTTATAAAGTCGTCTTCCTATGCCATTGTTTTTTGGTTGTTACTGTATTTAGTACTCACGCCTTATTTACGAGTTTAAAACCCAAAAAAACTGACGCACCCCTCTTTAACTGACATGGGACAAATTTTTAAACAGATTTTAAACTTTTAGGAATCTTTAAAAACGTCAATTTTCTTAAATCCAGAAAAAATGTTTACTGAAAAGTTTGAGACCATCAATAATATGCAAAATGTTTTAAAAAATTAATGCAATCTTGAAATAAAGTAAAATTATTAAGGTACTAGTCTGAAAGTGGGTTAAAAAAAAGGTTTAGTTTGACATGATCGGGCTCAAGATGGCGGCGTTAGGCCTACAGCAAAAAAACGCCACAATACAAAAACTAACTTTTTGTTGTTCTTTTTTCTTGAGAAATGTTTATTAAAGGTTAGACACTCTGGATGAGCTCTGACGTACGGAAAATGTTGTCTCCATATGACATAACTGAGCATTGGCGGAAGATGAACCTTTAATAAACAATCTTGGTTATGGCACTTTTATTGAGCTCACAATGTAAACAATTTCAATAAGTAAAAATATCTTTGTTATTAACAAAAATGTCCTAATTAAAGTTCTTGATTGAAATTTTTGATAAACATTTTTCTTATGCCTCGATTTCTTATCAAAATATGTACTTTTTATTTACTTTATTGCAAATATGTTCAAAACACATTTTAAGTTTTTAAATCAAGAAACAGTTCAAAAAATATTTTTTACTTTCTCTTTTAGTCCTTTTATTTTAAAAGTTTAAAATTTGAGAAATATCATCAAAGTTGTTAAAATTTGAAATGTTAATAAGTTTGAAGTGGTGAGTGAGACTAAGATGTTGGACCATTAAATTCGAAGGATTTAACGAGAGAGTAAATTTAGAATATTTATTCTACAGGTTGTCTCAAAAAAATGGGAATTCAATGACAAATACGATATCGTCTTTGTTATGATTTAGCATTGTAATACCTAATTTCAAAAGCCACATGTGTCTGCTAGAGTTTATTTTATGAAAAGGGTAAAAGACTGCAAAGATGTGTCCATAATGTCTCCGCAAGATGAACAGTGAAGACGGACAAGTTTACTCTGTTTGTATACTGCAATTTTCTTGTTTTACTAAGTACATCCTTATGCAGTCAAAACATAAACAAACAAAATGTGAACATAGCAGACGAAACTTTAGATTAAAGCTTTCTTAGTAGGTGTCACAATACTAAATCAAAGAATTATTTAAAAGGCGATATTTAATTCGTCACTGAATTCCCATGTTTATTGGGACACCCTGTACTTTGTTCAATTTAACAAAATTTGTGTTTTTATTACTTAAGAATTATCATGATTTATCATATTTGATAAATTAATATTTATCTGAATTAAAACTTTTCAAGTCAGAAGCACGATGATTCTTTCACATTATTGATCAGATAAAGGTTTCTAAAACTAAATCTTAAAAAGAATTCGGACTAAGAAGCATTAACATTAAACATGCCATTCAGTTTGATCAGAGAATGATTGTCACCTAATTCGATTTTACAATTTAAATCCGCGAAAAGTTTTAATTTTTACATTAAAAGATTAATAAACTAAAGTTAGTATGCATTTTACCAGTTTATTTTTGATAAATTAGCTTTAGATATTTACTCTAGTAATTAATAGTTGAATTAATCTCCGGACTGTACAGTTTATTGTGTACATTGTACATTGTACAATTGTACATTGAACAGAGTAGAGTGTACATTCTAAAGTGTACATTCTACAGTGTACACTGTACATTCCACAGTGCACATTCTACGGCGTACATTCTACAGCGTACATTCAACAGTGTACATTCTACAGCGTACAGTAGAAAGGAGTAGGGGGTGTTTTGGCGAGAAGGAGTAGAGGGTGTTATGGTGTGAAGGAGTAGGGGGTGTTATGGTGGGAAGGAGTAGGGGGTGTTATGGTATAAAGATTGAACAGTTTGCTGTTTAAAATAATTCTGGCTTTGTAAAAGGATTTTTATTTTAGTTAAATTCATTATTCGGAGATTTACTGAGAGTGGGAAGAGTTAGAGTTCGGTTTTATTCTAATTCATTTGTTTATCTTTCGTTAAAGTCCATTTCGTTATTTTTTTATGAACGAACGACTTGAAAATTCGAAACGATTGAATGATCTCAGATGTTTTTACTTATTTATGAAACAACGAACCTTTCTACATCCATGTTTATTTATCGTTAGTTAATATTACAAATTGACGCTATCGTTCTCAAAATACTTATTCGTTCACACAAATGTTGTTCGTACTAACGAAAATGTTGTTCTTACTAACGAAAATGATGCCAAAATCCAAGGTTAAAATGCAAGGAAAGTTATTTCAGAGGTGTACGCATCTTTTGTACTGCAGTGTACTGTCTCATGGGCGGTAATGTAAACACAAGACGGATGTCGAAGCCTGACATGGGATCCATCTTTGTCATAAAAATAATTAATGAAATATTCTGGTCATAGGAAACTATTATGTGAATTATCAAGATTATCAAAATTTAATGCTTTTAACCTCCTCTGATACTAAACGAACACTGATGTATCTATTCTTGTTTACACATTCCGCCCAGAGAGAACTGGTTTTAATATGCAACTGCTATCAACTTTCCTTGGATTATAACCTTGCCCAAATCCATAGGAAGAGTGCGAATCGTGGGTTTGTTTTTAGAATCTTAATTTTGTTAAATAAAAATTGGATACAATTACAAGATCAAAAAATAATGTTTAAAATGATTGTACACCTAATTTCAACTTATATAGTTACAATGCGATTTACAAAGATACATTTGTTTTAATCATATGGATAAACAGAATTCCTAAGTTTGTTTTCTGAAAATTGTTTGCGGGTATATGCTACACCCACACTTTAAAGGAAAATATCAGAATTGAACGCGGTTTCAGATGGAGAAAATAAACACAATATTTATCTTATTTTTTCGCAGATTTAATAGGTTATGTTTTCAATCGGAATTGACTCGTTTCTTAATTGGGGTCGTCACTTGAAATTACAGTCCCTGTAAAAAGGCGAGTGGGTGGAAAAATAAAGAGAAACAAATTTCTTCTGTAAAAGCGTGGAAAAATTAATATTTTTTATTTTTTACATTCAAATTTGTCCGACATAATTTTTCAATGCAAGTAATATTGGAATATTGGTAAAAGAAAGAAGAAGAGAATATTAAAGAATTGATATTAAAAAAAAGAAAAAATATTTCTTTAATAATTTCTTCAACAGATATCATTGTCAAATGAAATTAAAGAAAACTAAAGATAAACCAAGCTAAGAATATTCCCGTGGTGCTACCAAATTTCCCATTAAAAACTTAAGAAATGATAGGACATTCAAACAGATCAACGACAACAGAGATTACTTGAATATTTGCTAAATTTCTTTTTACATATAATGATCTGGGTTCGTTTTCTGACTCACATAAATTTCAAAGGAAGGGGATCATTCATTTGGCGTACAGTCCCGTTTTGTCTCATATATAGTCTTTTTTGTACTGTACTGCTTGCCCTGGCTAGCTGAAATTCGGCCCGGTACATGAAAATGAACTGAAATGTACCGTGGACTGTGCCTTAAAAAAAATTTGTGTCTTTTCTTTTGGTTTTTTACACTTTTTTTGCTAATTGATGTTGATGGTTATTATATCGTTAGAACTGACGAGGCTCAACCTAAACCGAAATATATTTTTATTATATTGGAACTAACATCTACTGTATTTACTCTGTAGAGGTTTGGTCCCGCATGAACACACAATATTAAGAGATTACTACTTTATATATCTATATATATATTTTGCTTGTCTGTTGGTCTGTCTGTTTGTTTGGGTCAAACAAACGTCAAACGGCTGAACCAATCGGCCCAAGTTTTGTTTGGTACTTCACGTGTCCTCAGGGAAGGTTTTCAGAAGATCAAAATTCCAACAAAATTCGATTTTTATAAAATGTTGAAAATCCACGAAATTTTTCCTTTTAAATGTGTACAAAGAGAAAATGTTCACAATTGACATAAAAGATGGTCGCAAAGCACCCTGAAAGCCTGGTAATGGTATATACATTATACAAATATAGGGATGGGCACGGTCTGCTTTTTTCTAGCCTTTCGTTAATGGTTAGTTAACCGTTAAATTTGTTTTCAGGTAATTATTCGTTATTTAGCTATAAAAACGTAGAGAGTAAATCAAAAGAGAGCGTGTAAAATTATCAAAATATATATGAATTGTCTTTAAGGTTCAGGCAACTTTAAACAGAAAAAAAACGAAATTCGCTTTTAATTTTTAATAAATTCGTGTCGTTTTTTTCGACCGTTAATTATTTTTCAAAACCGACTATTTTTGCTAGTTAACAATTCAAAAATTAACGGTCTTTGGTGTTCGTCAACTCCATTTCGTTTTTTTAACTATGCAATGCCTCGGTTTTATGTTTGTTTCTCAGTTTGAAATATATCTTTTAAAAAATGGTTGAATTTTGTTAGATACCTTGTTCTTGTAGATTGAATCATGGCATTTACTACAAATATTGCATCCCTCGTATTTATGCAGACCTCGGGCAGTCAAATCATTTCTGAAATATAATTATTATTTAAAAAATCATAGTGTATGCAGTGATTTCCAATTCTTATTTGTCAGAACTTTCTATATGTCAAATTATTCCATTTGTCAGATTTTTTCATTTGTCAAATTTTTCCACTTGTCAGATCATTTCATTTGTCAGATCTTTCTCTAGTCGTCTGACATTTTATTTGTCAGATCTCTCCATTGTCTGATCTTTCCATGTGTCTGATCTTTCCATTTGTCAGATCAATTCCATTTTCCCGATCTTTCCATTTCCCAGATTTTTCCATTTGTCCGATCTGTCCATGTGTCTGATCTCTCCTTTTGTCAGATCTTTCCATTTGTCAGATCAATTCCATTTGTCCGAGCTTTCCATTTGCCAGATTTTTCCATTTATCAGATGTTTCCATTTGTCAAATCTTTCCCTTTGTTTGATATTTCCATTTGTCCGATCTTTCCATTCGTCCGATCTTTCCATATGTCAGATCTTTCCATTTGTCAGATCTTTCCATTTGTCCGATCTTTCCATTAAACCAATATTTCCATTTGTCCGATCTTCCCATTTGTCCGATCTTTCCATTTGACCGATCTTTCCATTTGTCCGATCTTTCCATTTGAGTCGTTCGTTCTTTCTATTCATTCATTCCATCCATTTGAACGGACCTGTTCGTTATTCTTTAAAACTTCCATTCGCTAACAAAATTTTACTAACTCCAGATAAAAAAAGTATTTTGTTTGCATAGATAGCTAGCAAGAAGTTGTGCGGCTCAAGATGAAAAACAACAATTTCAATTAGGGGTGTACTCAGGAATTTGTCCAGTGGGGCTTGATTTTTTTCTTTCAAGAGAGGGGGCTAAGCACCTGTTGGGGCCTGAAAACCCCCCTGAAACCAAAGATTTCACTGCCCCAGGGGGGGCTGAGCCCCCATAGCCCCTCCCTTCTGAATACGCCTCTGATTTTAATGTTATCATGGCAGTTACTAGTTACTAGTTACTACCTTACAACTAAACTTGCTTTTAAAAGCTACCAACAAAGACGGTTAGAAGAGCTTTTTACGAAAAAAATTGTAAGAGCAACTGGCAAAAGATATGTGAGCTACAGCCCAAAGATGATGGAGCTACTGACAAAAAATGTGAGGGTTACCTTTTTTCTCTCTTCGCGCAAAAGGGCTATTTTCTCTCTCGGGATGAAAGGGTTAAACATATTCTCTCTCTCAGCACAAAAGGGTAATATAATAATTTTTTCTCTCTCGACATGAAAGGGTTAAACTATTTCTCTCTCGGCTTGAAAGGTTTAAACTATTTCTCTCTCGGCTTGAAAGGGTTAATCTATTTCTCTCTCGACATGAAAGGGTTAATCTATTTCTCTCTCGACATGAAAGGGTTAAACTATTTCTCTCTCGGCATGAAAGGGTTAAACTATTTCTCTTTCGGCATGAAAGGGTTAATGTATTTCTCTCTCGGCTTGAAAGGGTTTAAACTATTTCTCTCTCGGCTTGAAAGGGTTAAACTATTTCTCTCTCGGCTTGAAAGGCTTAACTATTTATCTCTCGGCTTGAAAGGGGTAAACTATTTCTCTCTTGGCTTGAAAGGGTTAAAATATTTCTCTCTCGGCCTGTCAGGGTTAAAATATTAAATTCTTTTAACAACCGAAACATTCCTACATGCCAAACCTTGATAGATTGAAAATTCCTGAACAAAATAAAAAATAAGTTTTTTTTCAAACCTTCAGTTTCAAAATTTTGCATTTGACAGAATTGAAATTGTTTGGATTGAAAAATTTTATAGAAAATATTAATCCACAAAAAGTCAAAATTATTTAAAAACACAAAAATAAATCACAAAAAGGAACGGGAGGGAACTGATTACTCGCTACACTCATGTCTTAAACCCTTAATACGAGTTCTGCTATAGTGAAACCCTTAATAACGTATACATCGGAAGAATTTTTCAAATGTCGTCTTGCCAATTTTTCAATGAGTTTTTTTACTTTATTACGTAAATTTCAGTATTTGCGAAAATAAATAAATAGCCATGAATATGCGGGAACAGTTTTAAAGAGTTCCATATAATCATTTAATTAAAAAATAAATATATCTGCAACATTCCATTATCAGAAAGTGAAGAATACGACATTTGATGAATTCTTTCTATGTAGTCGTTATTAAGGGTTTCACTGTACTGTTTCACTGTACATACAAAAAACTATAGGTGAGGTAAAAGTAAAAGCCAAGGCGTTGTGACACTTCTAAGTCGACCCGGTCTTGAAAATTTAACCAACTTTTTATAGTATTCTAGATCTTTATGGTTTAAGATAAGAAAAAGTAAATATTTTGATTCTGTGAGCTCTATCTCTGATTTATAGCGGCTCCTGCTGGCTGCTACTTTAACTAGGGCTGTGCAAGGACGAAAGTTTTTAGAAATTAACGGATAATTCCAACAACGCATGTAAAAACTGTATATTTAAAAAAATGTTTCTAATAATGGATTTTTTCATGAAATTTTTGAATTTCAGTTTTGTTAATCAATCAAATGAAGCTCTATAAAGCAGATTGGGAAAAGTTTGAACATGGCCAGACCTACATTTGACCCAACTCCGTATTACTTTTATTTCCGGATCAAAAACCGGAACCAAACTGATACAGTACCAAGGAGGCGAGACATAAAGTTGAGGGGAGTTTATATTTTAGTTCTTTTTTACGGTTTTATAAATTAGCATTGTGCAGTTTTGGGATCCTTGGGCTGCAGTAAAGACTAAAAAGGGATATTATCGATTCACAATGGTATCCTTACAATTTCATCTGATCAAATATTAATATCATCATTTTCTACTCTGAAAAGTGTCAAATTCTGTTATCTGAGACGTTTCTTGCTTTAGTAATTCCCAGACACTATTTCAGAAAAACTCTATATCGAAAATTATCAATTTTCAAAGTTAAAAACGTTGATATCTCATTTGTTCTTGATAATAAAAATAATTAAAGGTACATATGATAATTTTTAAACAAAGGGTTTATATACTTGAAATTACGTCTACAGCACATTTAAAAAAACTGTAAGTGTAATTTCAAGTGTCGTTAACGATCGATTTTAAAAAAGAACGTTTTAAAAAAACGATTTAAAAAATCGATCGTTTCGTTTTTCGTCGTCGTTTTCATGGTATGGGATTTCAACTCTTTTATGAAATTTATCTCAAATATAGACTTAAATAAATTGAAATATAGTGTGATTCTGAATATTTCCATTTATCAAGTATCCGAAATATCATAATTACGCCTCCATTATGGCCTGATATAGATAATACTCCAGGTCAAAAAGGCATTAATTTTTTGACATTTTACTCTAATAAAAGGCCGAATTCTAATTTGGGATTTTTAAGTGAGATTTGGAATAAGTATCCGAAAACTTGCATTATAATTGTTCTTCCATACAGTAGAGATATTTTTTTTAATTACTCCAAACCTTGGAAATTTTTTGTTCGACTGAATGCATATATACATTACATATTGTACTTGGGAGGTTCATGCAACTTTACGATATCAAGGTTAAAATGCAAGGAAAGTTATTTCAAAAGTGTACGCATCTTTTGTACTGCAGTGTACTGTCTCTGGGCGGTAATGTAAACACAAGACGGATGTTACAGCCTGACATGGGATCCATCTTTCAAAAAAAAAATCAATAAAAAATATTCTGGTCATAGGAAACTATTATGTGAATTATCAAAACTATCAAATTTAATGCTTTTAACCTCCTCTGATACTAAACGAACACTGATGAATCTATTCTTGTTTACAAATTTCGCCCAAAGAGAACTGGTTTAAATATGTACGCAGAGTATACACGACCGCAATTAACTTTCCTTGCATTACACCCTTGGGTGATATATACTATATTGGCCTGGACACTAACTATCTCACACCCATAAATATATTTATAAATGATGAATGTTTTGAATTTCTAATATGTAACCAAATAAATTTGTTTTTCTCATATTAGCTACTAAAATCAAAACTAAAGGAGCTATGAGGTTACAAAGTCTCTTCAGTAATGTCGCATACATGTTACTCTCCTGTTCTGGTTATAGTTTGCTATACGGTGATACATCTCCTTAACTAGTATTTTGGTGTATTCAAATTATGTGGGAAAAGTATGCACCAAGGTAATAAATCTTCAAGTGAAAACTATATATTTTCAAAATGAAACCAGTGTCTTGTAGTTTTAAATTTGGAGATTTAATTTTCTTTAATTGGATGGCTGGGTACTCCTATTCTTTCTCTGGATTTTCATGAGAAATATTCTAATTCATACCCTTTTACTTTTACTTTTTCATTCAAACCTTTCCCTTTTGTGTAAAAGGCTATAAAGTACACGTTTTTTGCAATCTTTACGTCACCTTCATGTTACCTATGTACACTATGAACTTTTTAATATATGTACGCAATATTGCGGGGTTACAGGATCCGTTCAAGGATAAATATATGAACGGGAAAAGTAATTATGAATTAAAATCATTATCAATCAATCAAGCTGGAATTAATATAATTTTTGTAAATGAAAAAATTATCAGAAAATATTCATTTTGTCCATTTTCACCATGAAACACAAGACAAATGCATTTTAAGAGGAATATTGTGACAAAAACCAGTCATACCCCCCCCTGACCCCCTAAAATACCCAACCGTACCTAGGGCTGGGCGTATTCCTGGTGGAACGATCGTTCTTTCCTGAGAATGAACGAAACGATCAAGAACGATCCCATTGTTCCAAAAAAACGGAACGGAACGGGAATTGCTTGAAAAGAACGGTTAAAACTGTTTACGCGTTCTTATTATCAAGAACTTGTTCTAAGTTGGGAACGCAGTTTAAATCAGGAATGTGTTCTCTTAATCCTCTAGAAATATAGTTAAAGATTTTTTATTTAATCACCTGACCCCCTCAGGAACGGACCGGGAAGACCGTTCTTCTACTCAGAACGGAATGGGACGGAACGGAACGAGAACGGAACGATAAAAAAAAGAGGAACGAGAACGGAACGATTTAGCTGAAGGCCCTCGTTCTAGAACGGAACGGAAAGATTTCAAAAAAGTTGGAACGTGTCCAGCCCTAACTGTGCCTCCTCCCATGCCAAAATTCAAGGATTTCCCTAAACACTATGTGTATTGTGTATAATATAGTTTGGAAAGAACCATTAGCAGTACTAATAGCTGAACTTTTAGTTATTAGTAAAAAGCAAACGGTTTGTTATGTTGATTTAACTGTTTGTTATGTTGATTTAACTGTTTGTTATGTAGATTTAACTGTTTGTTATGTTGATTTAACTGTTTGTTATGTAGATTTAACTGTTTGTTATGTTGATTTAACTGTTTTTTTTGTTGATTTAACTGTTTGTTATGTAGATTTAACTGTTTGTTATGTTGATCTAACTGTTTGTTATGTAGATTTAATTGTTTGTTATGTAGATTTAACTGTTTGTTATGTTGATTTAACTGATTGTTATGTGGATTTAACAAACAGATTTTTCCTTTACAGTCCCTTTAATGAGGTTTGTCCAAGTGACTTACTGGTTTCTATGATGAGTAAATAGTTTTCTTTAAGTTTATCAATTTAAACTTACCCACATCCAAACATCTGACATCTGATACATCTTGTGTGAAACGCTTTCCTAAAACAGAAAAAAAACAATTAGGTTTAAAAACCTTGTTTATAGAAAAATATGTACACAAACACTAGCCACTCGATATTTAATATTTTATTTTTTGAAAGTGACAGCATAATGTTATTTAAAGTGAGTCTACATTTGTAGAGTGATATATTCAATTCATAATCCTTCACCGATTTACTGACATCAACAAGATTGGAATTGAGCAAATTTGTACTTTTAACCCTGAGAAAAGAGTGTTCAAAGTCGTTCACACGTTAATTAAATATTTTAGAAATAGCAGCAAAGGCCAAAAAATCTAAAATTTTATGTTTGAACAAATAAAAGTTCAAAAAGCTGTTTTTTAACTTTCCCAATGGGTTTAGTAACTTTTCGTGCTTTAACTCGTTAAACTTTCAACTTTTTAAAAAGGTTTCATATTTAATTCAGTATTAAATTTCGAAAGAAAGATAAAATGTAAATTGTATTTTTTTTTTGGTGGGGTCTCTGGAGTAATTTCTCTAATATTAAATTGTATAATAGTTGTCTGGACGATTTTAAAATTCTTTTTAATCGCAATATTAACCCGCTTAATCCACATATACCCTCAGAGGGAGGTTCATCAATCTATTATATCCCTTCTTTTTAATCGCAATATTAACCCGCTTAATCCACATATACCCTCAGAGGGAGGTTCATCTATTATATCCCTTCTTTTTCTGGACATCCTTGTTATTTGCTTGCAGGAGGTGTTTTTAATATTAAAAAGGAATTGAGTCTTTGCCACAAACTCTGATTTTCTAATCCCTATATATTTACAACCCAATGTTGTAGACCTTAGATATTTCAAACTATGAATTATGTTAGATGTTATGATTATAGGGATCAGAAAATTTGGGTTTGTGGCAAAAACTCAGTTCCTGTTATCATTTATTTTACAGGAGACACTGATAATAAATACGTTCATTCTAAAACTTTTAAAAAACCCGCATAAGACACAGAATTTTTGCATTGTACACTGTACACTGTACACGTGTACACCGTACAATGTATATTATAATGGTCACTCCATGCTTTGGTTTCCGGTCATTTTGTGCCTGGAAACTGGAAACTGGAAACTGGAAAAACACGGATTTTTCTGACGTCGATAAACAGGCTAAGCTTAAAAGGGTGCTTTTGAAAATCGGACATCCCACGCTATAATTGTACGATCATGCTTAAAATTTCGTCTACAGTCCCTTTAAGCCCTTAAAACTGTCTCTGTTGTGTTTCTTGTCCCTACTCCCTACATAGTAAATATGGTTCAAGATTCAAATGTAATATTTGTGTGCATCAACGTGGAAAATTGCTAACACACAAGGATGTCATTTTTTCCTTATTCATACTTTTTAGACTTTTCTTATTTTGGAATCTCAGCTTGTAAAGGAAGGGGACGGAGTCAAAATTATTTAAAAACACAAAAATAAATCACAATTTTTAAGGGGGGGACCAATGTTGCCAAGGGGGGGGACCAAAAAATTTTTTTTTCGCGCTTACGCGCGCAAATTGTGCCCCCCCCCCTAAACAAAAGCCCTCGTACGCCCCTGTCCGTATATAGTTATAAGTTCATAATATTTTTAATTCGTTTTGTTTACATTCTCTTAAAACGCCAAAATATTTGGCCGCCAGGTGTCTCTGCTCTTGATGCTTTGAATTGTATATATATGCAATTGTATATAAAACAAATAACATTATAAAATTCTAACTATATACGAATGCGTCGAAAAATAATTGATCACTTTACTTGTAATATCTGAATGTTTGTTTGAAATAAAATTGATTATTTTACGATACGAGTTGTATATTACAACATTCTCAATTTGTATGGACGCTGCGTTCTTCAGTATAAGTCGTTTTTAACAAGTTTCTCCTTACAGACGCAACAGATTGAAGTAACAATAGAAGCAATCAAAAACGATTATTTTTCGCCATAAGCCTATACCCCTTTCATTTTTCACAACCTCTCCCTTTAACTATTGGTAAAACTCGTTATCTCCCACTCCTAGAAAAATATTTTTTTATTCTTAAAAGAGACTGTAAACGACCCTCCATGGACAGAGTCCGATTCACTACGGTACACAAAACAGCTTTGTCTGATTAAGTCATGAATTAGATATGCTGCTGTTCTTGCTTTTGAAAACTGTTTATTTTTATTTGTGGTTTCTCTGCAAATGTGATTTGCGCATTTTTTGCTTATGAAACGTCAAGCAAATTATGCATTAGAAAAATTATCAGAATTATGCTCTTTTCAAGCTTTTCAAACCAGAAAACGATATTAATATTAGATTAAGGTATCAAGGGTACCATTGTGAATCGAAAATAAGATACCTGTCTGCAGCTATAGTTTGTTCCATAGGATACACTGTTCTATCACATGCTGGACACTAATCAATCAATCAATATTTTTGAATTCATTTTTTTCAATCAATCAATAATTTATGCTTAATTTTTATCAATAAATCAATCAATTTTTTATTCTTTATACTTTATCAGTATTGTATTTGTATTTGTATTGTATTTGTTTTACTTAATCAATCAATTAGTCATTAATATTTGTTTTCTCAATCAATCAATTAATTAGTTAATCAATTAATCAATTAGTTAATCAATTAATCATACACAATTGATCAATCATTCAAATTTGTGTATGCTCTCAATAGTTTTTGTTTTGTTAAATAAATGTATTAAATTTTTAATCGTTTTTTTAACAATGTATTCTTGTCAAACATTAACTATGCTCCGTGTAAAGTCGTCTTTAACCTAGATCCCCCCTCGGAGACACCAAAACCAAACCAAATAATTTTAACCTCCGGTTTCTTTGTTCTCCCTGTCGGAGTATAAACAACCTAAAACATTGTGAATCCATCCATTTTCAAAGCTAAACAAAGAATATTTTCATATAAAGAATTAGTGACTTTCGTTAATAATTAATTGTCATTTATTTCAGAAGTTTAAAACGTCTTAGTACTGTCCAACTACTTAACCCCTTTGTTATCAGCAAATAGATCGTAAGAATTTTTCATTATAAACATTCATTGTAACAGTTTTTATATGTTATTATTTATATAACTTTTTCAGGAAATAAAGAGAATTCTTCATTATCGATTTTGATTTGGGGGTTATCATTATACTGTTGTTTATCTGTTCAACTTGAGAATCTTGTTTCTATCCGACAACAATTCTTTATTTTTTTGTGATTTCGATATCTGTTCTTTTCTTATTATTTTTCAATCGTTCTTTTAATATTAATTTATTTTTCCTTTTACTTATATTCAAAATTCATTTGTTGATTAATATTTAATTCATCTACTCATAGTTTCCTTTTTATACTTTTTTAAAATCAAATTTTGTTGTTTATGTTTATTCATTTGATCAATTTCTGAATCATTTTTTTACTTTTTTTGGAATAGGAAGACGACTTTTAGACTCAAGTTATGACTTTAAATGAATAATAAACATTTAATTTAATAAGAGATTTAATTACTTACTAAAATAAACATTTGCCATGTGGTAACATAAAATGCACTTTAAATGGTTTAATGTCGTCTTCCTATTCCACAGTTAAAAATGATTTAATGTTTTAAACTTAGACATAATGAGAATATTCATTGAAACTGTGTTTCAATTGAATACTTACATGATTAGCTCAAATCATGCGACACACTTAAATAACCCTAAAAATTATTTGTAGAGATAGATTAATTGTGTTATGTCTACTCTCTTTAATCCTTTAAATACATGCCTTAAACTTTAATTATGCGATAAATATGTAATATGTCTTAATCGTGTGAATAATCTCAATTCCTGTTAGCTTTGTAACCTAAGCTATTGAATGAAGTTAATTGATAGAGACTGCTTTGATTATGGTATTAGAAGTAGTCAGTTCTCGCTGAAACATTACGAGAAGAGATCTTTGCTAGTTGATTTAGAATTGAAGCTTGAAAATAGAGCTTATGGTTCTCGTTGAATTATACGAGTTGATAAATTGCCTGTGTAGCAATTTTGTTGGACTGTGTGTCCTTTAGAACTGGGGAGTTAAGCCTGGTTGATACGTCTTAAGTTAATTGTTATGAAGTAGGTATTTGCAACATATCCACCTTCCCTATGTGATCTATGGTTTAGTTTTCGTACTCTGACCGGCCCGACCGATCAACCTATTTACCTGTTATCAATAAATTAGTACCATAGCAATCGTTTCATACGGACGGAATTAAGGAATATAGTCAGGATTAACGGAAGAATTAGAGTTAGAGACAAGTAGTTAAAGAATTCTCGAGACCTAGATTGTTACATAATATCGAAATATAAGATTGAATTGAATGAAGAAAAACATACAGAAATAGCTAAAAGGTTTTGTCAAAGTTATTAGGAATTTATTCCAGATTTGTCATTTAATATGCATAGAATTTTTTTTCCATTTTGCTACAGGATTATAAGATAGATAAGTTAGTTCAGCAGAAAAAAAAACTAAATTTTGGCAGTCTCATATATACTACAAAAGATTTGAACCTAGGATAAGAAATTCTATTCATGCTTTAGTTCAATATAGTTGACTCAACAGTTTATCAGCTTTTCAGATATCTTATCTGAATTTTAATTTTTCATGAATAAAACCCAATAAATATTTTGTTAAACCACCCTGCTCTATTCCTCTCGTTGGACTTTGGTAAGTTTAAAATTGTCAATTTGTAAGATAGTACCGGGCAAGGTAGAACATTTTTAATCTGTTGCTTAAAGAGAGTGTTCGCGAAAAATGAAAGGCGAAAAATGGCTCTTGATCGCTACTAATATTATTATTATATCATGTTGCTTGTAAGAAGAAAATTGTTAAAAACGACTTATACAAATTCAGCAAGTTGCAATAAAAGACACATATCGTAAAAATTCAATTTAATTTTAAACATATCATTGAGATATTACATTCGATTATTCCTAGTTAATCGATAGAGTCCGATTCACACAGTCATGAATTAGATATGCTGCTGTTCTTGTTTTGGAAAACTGTTTATTTATATTATTTTTATTTGTGGTTTCTCTGCAAATTTGATTTGCGTATTTTTTGCTTCAGAAACATCAAGCAAATAATGCATTAAAAAAATTATCAGAATTATGCTCTTTTCAAGCCAGAAAAACATATTAACTTTCACATTATTCATCAGATTAAGGTGTCATGGGTACCATTGTGAATCCAAAATAAGGTACCTGTCTGCAGCTATAGTTTGTTCCATAGGATACACTGTTCTATCACATGCTGGACACTAATCAATCAATCAATATTTTTAAATTAATTTTTTCAATCAATTACTCATTTATGTTTAATTTTTATCAATAAATCAATCAATCATTCATTAAAAAAGTTGTATTCGTTTTACTTAATCGATAAATTAGTCATTAAAGGGAGTGACCGGCTATGTAAGGTAGTTGAACTGAGTATGCAGTGTTGTGGAAAGCTTCTTTCGGATTAATTTGAGACATATTAAGCTTTTTAAAGATCTGTAAATCCTGAGTTTGAGCGCAAATTCGACGTTAAAAACTCCTACTTTAAGGGTGGATACGTTTTCAGAATTAGTCTTTTTTAATTATTAAATAACGACAACGAAAAATAAAGTAAAAATTATAAAGCAGTCAAATTAGATGGTGAGGAACATATTTCTCAAAAGAAATTTGCCAATAAATCAACGCTCAAATCGATTATTTCGTTTCATAATTATATTGAATTTCTAATTTTCTTTGAATTTATTCGCAGATCTCTTCAAATTCTTTAAATGTCGTCTTTTCAATAATAGTTCTAGAAAATCTTGGAAAATCTTTGTGAATAATGAGAAACCAGAATAATGAGAAAATAGAAACTAATAATTTAACAAGATTACTTATTTTCGATGAAAAGATTAAATTTTATTTTCTCAACATGTTCCTATACATGACGTTTGTAGTTTATTGTAGAACTTTTTACATTTTATGTCGACGTTATATAATAATTAAAAAAAACTAATTCTGAAAGCGTATCCACCCCCAATGTAGGAGTTTTGTATGTCTCAAATGAATCCGAAAGAAGCTTTCCACAACACTGCAAACTCAATTCAACTACCTTACATAGCCGGTCACTCCCTTTAATATTTGGTTTCTCAATCAATTAATTAACTAATTAATCAATTAATCATACACAATTGATCAATCATTTATATCTGTGTATGCTCTCAATAGTTTTTGTTTTGTTAAATAAATTTGTTAAATTCTTTAATCGTTTTTTGAAAATTTTTTTATTTTTTGATGATTTTGATATCTGTCTTTTCTTTTCTTATTGATATCGTTCTTTTAATATAAAGTTTTGTTTTTAATAATTTATTTTTCCTTTTACTCATATTCAAAATTCATTAGTTGATCAACATTCAATTCATCTATTTAAAGTTTCCTTTTTATACATTTTTTAAAATAAAATTTTTGTTGTTTTATGTATATTCATTTGATTAATTTCTGAATCAATTTTTATATTTTTTTTCTGGAATAGGAAGACGACTTTTAGACTCAAATTGACTTTAAATATTCCAATGAACAATAAACATTTAATTTACTAAGAGATTTAATTACTTACTAAAATAACTATTTGCCTTGTGGTAGTATCAAATACACTTTAAATGGTTTAATGTCGTCTTCCTATTCCACAGTTTTTATTAAAAACTTTATTATATTAATTTTTCCTTTGGTGCTCCTCCCCACGGCATTCTGAAATTAAAATTTGTTTTAACGTATTCTGACAATTTTCTAAACTGTCTCTGCTACATTAATCACTTAAGCAGAGAAAACTCACAATTGGAAAAAATAATTTTCATCTAAAAAAATGTCACTTTGTCCGTAACGTCAACCTGAATTGTATATTTTCCTTTTGTCTCTCAATAGATATGCAGGGCTCTAGTATTTGTAACTCCATGATTACATATGAACCATGTTCGTGAAAGACTGCAGGCATTTGAAAGATTAGTACCGTGTTATTTACAAAAATAACTGGTACATGAATATTTACAGAAGATGGAAAAAAACTGCTTTTTCAATTTTGTAGAGAAAAAGAATTGGTCGCATTAATCTATGTTTCGTTACAACCCCAATACAGGATTAATAAATGAATATTTAAAAATATATTTGCATTGCATAAACTGGTTTTAGGGCTCGGCCCGGATTTGACAAAATGATACTCTTTCTATCTCCTGGAAAAAAACATATCTTTCTTTAAAATGAGGATTCAAAATGTATTAAAAAAGAATGGAATTTAATCCATTTTAAGAGATATGTACCATTTTGTAACACTTTAATAGCAGATGGTCCGTTTTTCATATTTTATATATTAATTCTTCGGAAAGTATGGAAAAAAGGTGTATTTTGAAATAAGTGAATA